GCATGCGCTGTTACGCAAAAACCGCGATAGAGTGAAGCCGCGGAAGTCGAAGCGCGAAGTGGCGAGGGTTCACTGTACTCTCTTTCACATCAGAGGGCGGGGTCCCTGGTGTGCGCAGGTGTGCACAGGCACGCCCTGGCTCCTTTTCAGTTCCGGCACTCCTCCTCTGATTCTGTAGCATCGTCTTTTCCAGGTGGGTTTTCCGCACTCCTCTAAAGCGGCCATTCTCAGTGGCAAACTCTCCCATGCCAGCCCCCCACGCCACCCCCCACCATGCGGCTTGTAAGCTTGCTTTCCAGATATCTCCAGAGAGCATGTACCATCTGAGATTGTACTACCCGAAGCTTACCTTTCCCTCATAAAAGTGACTTGGATTTACAAACGTGCTTCTGCCACGTGAATTCTTCCAGCGTGAAGAAGCAAGAACCGAGGCCAACCATCCCAGAAAACTAACAGGAGCACCTGGTGGGTTTGGACCTTACCGTTAGCAGTCCAACACCTATTGCACGACAGTCTTATAGGACAGTTTTACTCTGTAACACATGGGAGCCTCCATGAGACAGAATGGACTCAAGGGGGCATCTGACAAGTTGGGGCAGCCAGGCAGGTTGCAAGAGGTTTCATGGGCAGGGATCAGCTGTCTGAGCAGCTAGCCTGAGGCCAGTCTCTCTCCACTCTCAATAGCAGCTCCACGTGTTGGGCCAACAAGTGGACACTCAGTGCCTCTCAAGAGTAGGTGCCTCCTCTCGCAGACAAGGCCAGGTGTCCAGGTTTAATAAGCTCGTGGGGCCCATTCCTTGGCCTTGGACCCACAGCAGGGTGAGCTAAAGGACTCTTTCTGTGGGGGCCCAGTGGGTCAGCTAGGCGGGTACTGGGGGTGGAACAGCAGCACCAGATGTCTCCACTCATTTGCACATCCACATTTATGGGGGGTAGGGGTGGGCCAGGGAGGCCAGTGTTGATGGCAAGCAGTGTGCTCCCAGGGGTGGGGAGAGCTGGGTTAACAGACACCCCCCCCCCCACGCACACACACCAGGCCCCCTGCATAATCAAAGCCTTCTTGGAATGAGTGATGGTTTCCAGTTCCTAAGGGGTTTACACCAGAGTCTAGCATTGGCAGGCCCCTCCTGCCGGGTTACACCACACACAACACAGCAGATGTTGACAAACAAAAGACTCTTTTGAGGTCCAGTCCCCTCCTCCCCCCACCCCTCCCTGTGTCCCCACTTCCTGGCCAAGTAGAGCCTCCAGGCACAACACAGGAACAGGAGCCAAGTGTTGGGGTCAAGAGGCTGGCTGGCCTGGCAGGGTCCGGGGAAGGTGGGTGATGAAAAAGACCCTTGTCAGGGTCGCACTGGACCCCGACTGGCCCAGTGCAGGGCATCGTGCATAAACATTTGCATTTATGGCTGGATTTCCCTCTCCCTAGTCACGAGTGGGAACCGTGAGCTCGATGGGGGTGCGTCTCGTGGGCAGGTCTCAGGAACCCGCCCACTATCTGCGTGGGCGGGGCGGCCAGGAGGGACGGGCCACCCAAGGGGTCCGCGAAGGGCACCGCCCAGCCAGGTCGAGGCCATCACCATGCACTGCGCTCCCTCGCCAGCCTGGTAGGAGGCCCGTCGTGAGCACCCAGTCCGAGTCCCGCGCCCTCAAGACCGCCTCTCGAGGAAGGGGGCACGACGGCGTGCGCTGGGATCGCCAGCAGAGAGCGCGCTCGCCCCGCGCTCGCCGCGGACTGGGCCCGGCGGGTCTCACGGCGCAGCGCG